CTCCCAGGGCCACTGTGGCTGCTTCCTGATGTGGTTTTCATTATTTATCCAGCATCTATTGGACAATATTGGAGCCAGCTCTGAGCTGTGCTGCCATATTGGCAGCAGCACAACGGAGCGAGCAACAACAACGGAAGTGAAAAGGAAGAGGCTGCAGTGTTACTGCACATTCAGTCTGGACTGAATCCCTGTTTGCACAGTTAGACATTCACGAGAACGCTAGATTCATCAAAGTCTGGTGCTGTCATTTGGCAACACACACCACTACCTGTATCTAGCCCTTCTGAAAACACACCTTCTTGTTTACTTAGCTGTTGTTTGATTGTTGACAGTGAAATTGAGTTAAATCGCACATAGAACAGCAAGTCGCCTGAACAGAGCAGCACATACAGCGTATCACATGTTATCAATTTCTTTTCTGCCACTGCAGACACACAATATGGGATGTACATGAGATTACTCACCTGCCAAAGCCAAACAATGGCTAATGTATCTCCGGTTTGAATTAAATTTACCATAGGGTGTCATCTCTAAGCTGTTTAATGCAATGTGGGACGAAGGGCTTTAATCAGCGAGGCTCAGTGGAGCCAGCGGATTAAATCACTTTTTATCTGTGCTTCCTTTGACTTTCCCATTGCTCAGGGTTGCAGTGTAAATCATAATGCATCCCTGTTGGGCTCATTTCAGTATGGGTCATTGCTGTAGTCACATTTCATAAATTCCATTTATTTTGCGTACTGAGTAAATCCACATCCACTGAAATACAATTCTCACGTCCAACTCCAAAGCAGATCATTTCTCAGAAAGAGGTTGTTGCGTCTACATGACTGTATAGGCCTATCTATCTGTGAGTGTGTGTCGCCTAAATACTTCTAGACATACACACTGTATACATGCATATGCATTGTTGCATGCAAACACATACACAGGTGAAAACACATAAACACACCTGTGCGTACTTTGGCATACATATACTTCATCCGTGTGCCTGTACGGACATGAGTGCATGAGTTTCTATCTGTGTGCGGGTGTATGCACACTCACATCTGACAACAGCGGCAGGGAGAGCGGCTGCCGCATTGCACAGAATAGCTAAACAGCTGTAGTGCTCCATCAGGGCTATCGATCATGTCCCTCTCTCTGAATCACAATCAGACGTGGGCAGAGCAGAGCGGCTGGAGCGGGCCTCGGTGACTGGCTCGACTGCGACACACCTCTCATATCAACCAGGCTTCACCAAACAAATCTGACCTGGATAGCTGATTAAATGCATCTATATGCGAGTGTCGTAGTTGTTGTTTCTGTAGAACTTGCTGGTTTAAGTATTCATTTCAACTTCCTGGCAAGCACCACTTTTTGTTGCTGGCTGGGTTTGGTTGCTTACACAGAATACAGCAGCGTCCACCGTGTTTAAGTACAGTTACAAAGGATGTCCGATCACTACAGGTATTGACATAACTCCTAACATACTGTACATGCCCAACCTGAGTAACAGTAACATGAATTAAAAGTGCATTAAACCAGACGTCGTATCTGCCTAATACATTTAACCACTAGAAAATTAGACATGATTTCATTAAAAACTTAACAGTAAGAATAGGGAAGCTGTTTGAGTATCATTAGCTGCCATCTGCTATCATCTCCCCACACTGTATATCAACTCAACATCTCATGTAATCACAAGGAAGTTAGATGTTATTACATTAAAATTTAAACAGGAAGTGTATGTAAGCCGTCTATGGCGCCATTAGCTGCCATCTGTTAGCATCTCCACAATCTTCTCTTCTGTATGTTCCTCCTCTCTGTGTCCTTGCGTTATCTGCGACCCAGTGTTAACTTCCTGCCAACATGGTGGCTTCCTTTCTGTTTATTTTCCCATGGTCAGCTGAATTTAACAGATGACCTGGCACTTCCAGATATTCACTTCCTGGTATGGGACAGCAAGGTTACAAGTCAATATCCTTTTTGTATTGCCACTGGACACACCTGAGTAGAGGAGGACAGCTTTAACAAGACCAACCCCCATCACACACGGACACACAGACACACACACCCACACACACACACACACTCATGCACACACACCCACATCTCTTGACACAATGTGATTGAGTGGCTAAGCTGGAAATGCAGAAGCTTGTCAGATAAGGGTTTGAGATGGATCGGTGAGTGGGCTTGGTACACTGAGAGGAGTGTGTGAATTTGTATGTACATGTATGCATGCTAAAACTGCTGCCCTGTGTGCCCTGAGTGTGTGTGCTGCCAAAGCTGCTTTGTGTGTGTGTGTGTGTGTGTGTGTGTGTGTGTGTGTGTGTGTGTGTGTGCAGGTTATGTTTTAAATGCTAAATGGTGGAAAAAAGGATCCCATTAGCATTATATGGATGTTGACATTCCATTCAGGTCAAAGTTATTGGTGCGTGACTGTATTTGTGCTTATGTGGTTTGTGTGCGTGTTCGTGTCAAATCTCACACAGTGTAGTAGTCATGGCTGTCACACAAGCATACCCATACACATGCATGGACACACACACACACACACACACACACACACACACACACACACACACTCCTACTGTGGTGTGTGTGGCGGGGGCCCCCCAGGGGGTGCCGCTGTGCTGTCAAAGATGGATGGATGAAGAAGCTGCCCTGCATCACAAGGGGCTCTGGGGAAATACCACCAACATGACACACACACACACACACACACACACATACACACACACAGGCAAACACATACACACACTGACATAGACTCACTGTGTGTCAGCACACAAATACAGTAACTGCATAAATTTGAATATGCACGCATGAATCAGAACACAGAAACAAATAGGAATGTGGTGAGAACACACAACGTGCACACACACACACACACACACACACACACACACACACACACATCTGTCTATAAAGGGATAGTCACTGCCTCTGTGAGTAAGAGAAACAGCCCTAGGGTCCTCCGCACAGGAACATCTGAGTTTGATAACAGAGGAATGTCCAGGAATGTCCATTTAGCAGACAGCAAGTCAACATGGACAGTGTCAGGAGGCGGAAAAAAGAACACTTCCTCAATCCCACTGCCTCCTATGAATCGAGAATCAAAGTGAACTTTTATCTATGAGTATTCATGAATAACATCTAAGGGACCGCAACTTTAACAATTTTTTTTATTGGGTTTTGCCTTATAAATTCATTTCTGAGATCTGGAAACGAGCCGTCATAGCTAAAAAAGAATTCAGACTGGGCAAGAAACATGGGTAATCAGACCATTCTGCAGATTTGAAAAAATTCCCTCCAACTTGTGAGCACAGTTTTGATGTGGTAAGAGGGATTTTCCAGGGACATTGTGTGTTCACTACTCGATTCACTCACAAATGATGTGGTTTAGATAATCTAGATAAACTGTTGGCATGTTTACAACTTGCCTGATCATCTAACTGCTTGTGTTTCTTGCTCCATCAGACTTTGTTGTAACATTTCACCAGGTTCCCAGATCTCATCAATCAGTTTAGTCAGCCCAGTGTCATTAAAAACTATAGAAATAACGGTAAAAATGCAAAAAGATTCACAAATTGCAACCGCACAAGGAACAATAATAGCTTTCGGCAACACCAATCGTATGCGTACATACTCAGGCGTACAATAAGGGGGAAGGGGAGATTTGATGGACCCTTTAGGAGGGACCACAGCAGCACCAGACCAGAGCAGACCTTGTAAACTTAACCATTCTTAATTCCACAGAAGGATTTCCTCGATCAGGGCAGTAAATCTCCATGCTTGGCACAAGCCTGAACAATCCATTAACAATAATAAAGCGTGAGCGGCCGGGAGATGGACCCTTAAAGGGGAAGGTCAGCCTGATATTACAGCTTTAAAGGTTTCCTATTACGGCTCAACTTCAATATAACCACTCACCTTGCCTTTAATGGCCGCTGGCTATGCAGTGGCTGAGCATATATGGAGATTCTAAATCCAGTCTCTTTCAGATATTACTGGATAGTGGACAGCGATTTATGGGTCTGGTTCTGTGCCGCTGGTTGGAGGTGTGAGCATTGTTAATAAAATTGCCCCGGGGGTGAAGGAGATCTCCTCGGTATCGCCCTGTCTGGCCCGCACGTCCTGCTGGGACGCACAGGAGGCTTCAAGCGCTGCAGCACCTGGCCACAAAATTGCTTAGGCAGCATTTTTCGTCTTCATCCTGGCCCTTCCCTCTCTGAGTCTCTCTCTTTCATATCTTTACTCTCCTTCCACCTCACGTTTCTTTTTGCTGCCAACGCTTGTCACCCTTACTCCCTTAGTGACTTACACTGTTTCCAACATTTCCAATTCTTTGTCTCCTTGTGTTTCAAACTTTTGGGACAGGGATGCCACTCTGGACGCTGAATACAAGACAAATTTCTGCACTAGCACACAATGTGGCACTATCTTGTCTCTACATCTGTTTCCATTTTGTGACACTTTCTTTCACCCTCTTTTCTCTGCCACTTCTCTCCTTAGCCAGCTTGTTCCACTGTCTAGGGTGACTGCAGAAAAGAGAGATAGGAAGGAGAAAGGACACAGCAACAGAGAGCAGGAGCAGGAGAGGAAAGAGGGGAGAGTGCAAGCTCTTAAGTAGATTGCAAAGAACAGCACAGAGGCATGAGTGTGAATATTAAGCGGGTTTTCTCCTGCCCGAGAAGTTCCAGCCTGCAGCAGCAGCAGCAGCAGCAGCACCAGGGAGGGAGAGAGATGGTGACAGAGAAAGAGAGAGAGCAAGAGGGGGGGGGGGGCAGGAGAGACCTATAGAACTGTCAGCTATCCAGCCATAGTAAGACAGCTACCTTCAGGTGTCAGAAACAACGGTGTACACAATCTATCAAGCTGTCCAGCAGATCTGAGATGAGAAATTACCATAATTGAATTAGAAAAGGAGGTTTCTCATTGCAAAGGTGATGATTTTCCAAGAAAGAAAGGGAAGGGGTGACGCGAGAGTAATGTAAAGCAAAGGAGAGGAGACTCACCTGGAATGCCTGGCGGAGTTTTCAGGTATTTCCCATTGAAATGCTGTATCACTACTTCACATTTCTCTGTGGACTCCATCCTGCAACAAAAAGGGATACGTAAGGTTTAATTTAAAAATATTTAAAGCAAAGGTTGAAACCCACATTACATAGCTGTAAAAAAAAATATATATATTTTTTTTACCTCTTTGCTAAATTATGACACATAAGGAAAATATTGCCCCTGATGACACATTTGCCACAATAAGGAGTCACTGACTAGACTGTGTCCTGCTGGCTGGTTATTATCATTCTGTTCATTCCAAAAAATCCAATGAGACTATCCAGAGTCTGTCTGTCTATCTGCTGGTGAACGCCACTGTCTGCATGAGTCAGAAGTTCATAATGAAATTCAGCGTTTGCAGGGAATGAGTTGTTACACAGCCTCTCCCCATGCCTAATAGAAAAGAAAAATGATAGAAAGACGGAGCGAAGAGGCCAAATGGATGCAGGGATGCAGAGGAGTAAGGAGAACAAGGGGTATAAGAAGGTGTGGGGAGGTAGACGAGACTGAATCTCAGAGAGGGAGAGAGAAGCTGCCTGACTGGAGCCACTGGATCAAATGCTGTGCAGGCCAAGCAGCTGACCAGGAGGAGGGCTCTGATCTCTCACATCACAAGCTCACACACACTAATATCCATACACACATCACATCAAAACATGTACATAAGTATATCAAACACATTTAAAATGAACAAATGTACTGCATGTACTTTCACCCTTGAGGGGATTTGAGTTACACTATCTGCCATCTTAAATCTAACTCGTAACCTTTAACAATGTACATTTTAAACGTATACATAACCCACACACACACACACATACACGCACATGCACGCACCCACCCACGCACGCACGCACACACACACACACACACCTGTCTCATTTTAATAAAGGAGCAGTTATGATAACATATGATAACTGTGAATATAATGCTGATTTACCACAAGTTATTTACATCAAAAGCACTTACATATCTAATAAATTTCCTTACAACTGATCATATTTTGACTTTTAAGTCTTGCAGGGACATTTAAGTCATAAAGTCAAATAAAAACATCAGTCAAAGACTATGATTTTTTTTTTCTCTATGCATGAGAGAATATGCCCTTTATATTATTTGCACACATTGTACATATGTCACCAGATTCTTTAACATACACATACAAAGAACTCATATTAAAATGAGACAGTTTTTAAATGCAGGCTTGAGTGATTCCTATGCCTTTATGGTAATATGCTCTTGGAATGTGCAGAATTCATTGCTTTCAAGATTTTTATGCTTCATTCGCTCTCACCTCCTAGAATACTCATATCATCCTGTCAGCCTCTCACTTCTCTGTCCTCTGTCTCTCATCCTTCTCCTATCTCTACCTTCATCTTTCTTTCTTTCTTTCTTTTTTTTTTTTTACCATAGCTTCTTTATCGCTCTCTCTTTCTCATCCATCTTACTCCCGGCCCGTCTGCACCTCTTCTTTTTGACGTCTCTCTCATTCCTCCCCGTCTTTCAACCTTGGTCATTTCCTCCATCTTTCACTGTTAGCCTTTCTCCCTCACGCCCTATCTCTCTCACTTTTCGTGCCCTCCTTTCCTTCCCTCTCTGTCTGTCCTTTTGTTTCTCTGTTACGCCCTTCCCGCATAAACATCTTTCTCCCTTTTCCTCTCCCTACTTCTCTTTTTAGAATATGTAATCTTTCACACTTCCTGCCGTCATCCCTCTCTCACTCACCATGTATGCACCCTTTTTTCTTCATCTTTCTTCTCCCTCTGTCCCGCTTGTTACAGGGACAGCTGATACAGACCAGCCAGTCTTTTAATTTCTATTATATATTTTTTACTTTATCTCAATTATGCCAATAAAGCCTCATCGAATAGAAATGAATGTACAGTAGAGTCTGTTTGTGTTTACATATAATCTGTATGCATATATGCACGCACACATTCATAATATGCTTCTAATCCGTGTTCACACACACGACTGCACTTCAACACAGTTCCACAAACATGCCAATAACCCTTCCACAATGCTTTCACATTAGGAGGCAGCTCAGTGACACAGAGAGGATCTGCATGAAGCGGCTAACCTCTTTATCACTTTTGCTCTCTTTCACTCAGGCCTAACAACTCTGTACATACTGCACACTCCACTTAGCGCTTGTGGACTAATGATTTATGTGGTTTTGTGCTGCATCATCTGAACAAAAGATGTTTTGCGATTATTTCTTGGGATGTTTTTGCTAAAGGAAAATCAGGCTTGAATGCATCACCCTTCTCCAAAGCGTCTTCTTACTAGAAGTGTTCTCTCGCTATCCCCTAGCGCTCTTTATCCTGCTCCCCTCTGGCTGTTCATTGTTTGCCTCCTTCACTCTTTCCAGCAGTACCGCAGGTAGGTAGACAGAAAACAGGTGGGCAGACAAGGAGTAAATAAGGCAGGCAGGCTGTTAAGCAGTCACCGAGAAACAAACCGGTCAGACTGTCTGTTGGTCAATCAGACTGCTGCGGTAGCCAGGCAGTCACTGAGCCAGCCAGGTAGGCGGTAAGGCATTGTGGCTGTTCTCTGTGTTCTCTGTGTGCTGCTGGTTAATGGCATCAGGTGCTGCTGTCTGCAATGATTAGTGCTGGGGCTGGAGTAATGGGCTCTGATATCAGTAATGGATCAGCCCACAAACACTTAGCTCAGTTTACTCTCTCTAATGCCCCTCATGGCCCAACCCTCAGCAGCTGTCTGTCTGTCTGTTGACACAGCTAACGCCAGCTCTACAATTAATAAAACACATTGATTCTTCTTTTTTTTTTTTTTCTTTGAGTCTGTCTGACCTGTTATCAATTACCACCATTCTCTTTTATTTCTGGATTCATGCATAAACAATACAACCTTTTCTACTTCTTTCTTTTTTTTCTCTTCTGTTTTTCTCTTTATCTAAGAAAAACACAACTCATCCTCATCTCACATTGTCTCCCACACACCCACACTCACTCATTCCACTTTCTATTCCTCAATCTTTCTCCGTCTCATACCGCCCTCTCCTTCCCATCATCTTCTTTTTCTCTTTCTAATAACCTCTATGATTAGTTCTTTTTACCTGGCTATTGTTTCACACTCCTGTCCCTCTCTCTCCTGCCGTCTCACTCTCCCTTTCCATCATGCCTCTTCCTCCTCCCACGGAGGGCTGCTTGAACAGGTGGCCTGTGGCAGGTTGCTGCTGTGCTCTGCTTGTTGGTCTGCAGGAGGCTGCCTACCTGTCTGTGTGTGTACGTGTGAGAGTCTGCTTTTGCATGTGTGTGTTGTAATACGTGCACACGTGCATGCACGTGTGCTTACGCACGGGTGTGCAGGCATGTGTAGAGGTCTATCTGTGCATAAGCTCATGTTTGTGCATAAGTGCCTGTTAATATATGTGTGTGTGTTTGTGCTTGTCTGTCCTGCTGTAACCCTCGGTAATAGAGCAGGGAATAGGAGAGGAGTTCAGCCAGAGCAGGTGATTAAGAAAAATCCCTGCAAGATGGCAGTTCTGTGGCCGTCAGTGGCCTCCTCTGGGTAAACAAGGGAGGACTGTGTGGAGAGGAATGAGAGCCTGGTGGCTGCCGAGGACAAGGACAGAGAGGTTTATGACTTTGGGGGATTAACAAGCAGAAGTGGAAACTTTTCTAAGCAGAAAAAGAAATAAACTGTTCAATGATAGGTTTGGTAGTGGAAATAGAGCAGCCCTGACTATACTGTAAGGACAAGGAGTAATTGCTGGTGTCCAAGAAATGTATGTGAATGCATAAGCACAAGCATCCCATTTATAGGCATGTATACACATATGCATAAGCACACGCGCTCTGATGCACAGGAATGAACAAAGACAAACTCATCCACTGGCGGACGCACTGTCGAACAGGCTCAGAAAAGAAACAAATCACACTTAAAAGTTTCTGCTGCCTGGAGGTAGGGGTCACCTGACAAGTGTCTTTATAGAGTGAATGCGTGTGTGCCCGCAAGGTGCACAGGTGGTGTGCCTGTATGCCAGTGTACGTGCATCTATTTGTGTGCACACTTCCATCAATGCATTTGCAAGTGCGTGCGTATGTGTGCACATTACATAGGTCAAATCTATTTGAACAAAAATGTCTTAGTGTTCCAGCCTCCATGTAGTACCAGACCGTACAGTAAGTATGGAATAAGTATTTGACATAAGGGCAGTGTGTGGGCTCACTGCACTTGCATTCATAGCAGCAGCAAGGCAACATATGGTGAAGAGATACCACTTTTAAACTGACGCATCCATGTCACATTAGCATCATTATCATTGCGTACCTGGCAAAACCAACTCCTCTGCTGACCCCGTTGGCATCCCTCAGTATCCTCGTGGAGATGACGTGACCCAAGGGTTTCAGCATGTTCTCCAGCTCCTGCTCATCCATAGACACGGGCAGGTTGGAGATGTACAGGTTGGTGGGGTCTTGCTCTTGTTGCTGAGGGGCCAGGGATTTGAAGAGCAGAGGGGAAGAAGAAGAGAGAGGGGAAGAAAAGATGGTATGAGAAATAATGTATCATCATCAGTCACAGGAATGGTGAAATATGCATCAGCTCTGTGTCATGAGGCATCACGTAACACATAACAATGCTGCCATCAGTGCAGCCAAACTCTGGCTGAACTCACATGATGTTTGGCCTTACTGACACTCACATATTCATCTGCTCACATGTAATATGGATGCATCAATAGTTCATTGTGCTGGTCCTGCGTGTGTGTGTGTGTGAAAGAGTGAGTTTGTAGGCTACATTATGGATTTGGGTGAGTGGAGAGTATTACAAGTCATACATGTCTGTATTAACATCTTGCATGCTGTATACAATTCAAATAGTTTGTATGGAGGCTTCTGGGTGCGTTTCTACACCAGCTCTCAAGTGTTAAAGATCAAGTGAAAGAGGGATAGAAACAGAGAATGAGAAGCTGTGTAGTGTGTATTGTACAGCAGTGTTTTCTCTGTAAAGCCTAGGGGCTGCTCCTAGCTAGGTGAAGCTGCACAGCTAGTGATGGGCTGAGCCTGAGGTAGCTGAGGGGCCAGATGCGCTCTGCAGTAGAACAGCTGGAAACAGCAGCCCGGCCCCAACAGTCAACCAGTCACTGAGGCAGAGCTCACAGCCACCATGTCTGTCACCCAGCTATCCGTCTATCCATCCTTCAACTCAGTAATTCTCTACCATGTCAGCCTTGGTGGCCAGCTAGCTGCGATGAGTGAATGGACATGGCAACATTTTGAAAAGATTTGCATCCACTTCAGCTCACAGATGACAGTGGAAGATGTTATCTTTTTGAGAACACCACATTCTAATCTAGTACCGCCTCTTTCAAGGCAGGGTCATTTTATTTCAGGTCAGAACCCTAGACGATGATGATGATCAAACTGATAATTTTGACATGATCTGCCATTGTGAACGACTCTATATATTCAACACATTGAATCAAAAGTAAATTTCACTCTCATCCTTCTCAATTACAGGCTCTCAGAGTGCTACTGTTTAATTCACTTTAGATCAATAATGGGAAGAGGAGGGTCCTTACAAGGAGCGATGCCATGTAAAAAGGCAATGATCTGTGTGATGGTTGTGATCTATATCTAATAATAAGAAAGGCTACTGAATCTGAATGAATATTCTGTGTAACGATAGCAATTTAGCAGGATTTTTTTTTAAATTAATTTCATAGACTTTAAAAACTGGCAACAAGAAAAAAGAAGAGAAGCAAGGACAAGTAGGAGGAGGAGGAGAGTTAACTGACTTTCACCCAAAGAAAATTAAGACAATCGGCACAGAGCTATGACTGTGTATGGATGTTTTTCTTTTCTAAACCTCAAGCAGCCTTATAATCTGTCAGTAGCACCACATTATGCTGAAATCAGTTGTTTGGTCCTCAAAATGATGAGAAACGTCAGGTTTCAGTGATCTATTTCACACACATATGCAATATGCTAAATAGCGACTTCAGAAGTCTACGTTCTTCGCAGCCGAAGAGTCTTTTGTGTTAGTACAGTTGCAGGTAAACAACGTCTTTGAGAATCTTTACAGTCTTTACAGACTCTCTGTGCTTTGCCACAGGCAACGCGGTCTCACTCTGTCTTGTGTTTTGCTTTCTGTTGACGGCAGAGGAAGAGGTTAAGGAGGAGGAGAGGAAGTGCCTCCACCGCCGCCCTGCCTCCATCTCTCCATCTGTCAGAGGAGAAGACTGGTCCCTCCCCTGATTAATTAGCCGTCTTATCTGACAGGACATGTTTGATCTGATTAAAGCCTTCGGGAGAAAGCCGGTGCCCGACGTGAAAGCAAGAAAACTGCGGCTATTTCTCCTTTAACCAGGAACTCAATTACCTAACTTCAGGGCCAACTTAACTCCTCCTCTTTTCTGCAGGTTTGTCACATTTTCGTGCTTTGGAGCGAGTGAGAAAGAGCTCACAAGAGTTTGTATAACACAGGATTTGGGAGTGAATGAGGCTTAATTAAATCTGCCCGTAAAAATCTACTGTACACGTGTCACTCTGCTGCTAAGTCCCTTTGCTGTGTGTAGCTGTGCAGCTGCGCTTTCCTTTGAGTTTCACTGGATATGTGAGGCGATGTTTTTCAGGATTATGTCAAATAGGCTTCGTATTCCAGTGGAGGCCTGGATCAAAGAGTTAACTGACTGACTCACTCACTGGGCTAAGTCAATGATACCAGACTTGGTGTGTGTGTGTGTGTGTGTGTGTGTGTGTGTGTGTGTGTGTGTGTGTGTGTGTGAATGAAGGCCCTTTCTCCTGTAAGCATGTGACAGTACATGCGGTGAAAGAGGACGACAGAATGTGAAGCAGTAATTTGTGTGCGTGGGCTAATAGTAGAGAGCTCCTTTTGCGTGGGGGGGGGGGGATTATCATGGGGAGGCCTCGTCTATGCACGACCGCCTTCGCTAAGTTTTCTCTTTGATGACGTTCTGCACCACAAAGCCCTAAATACCCAGATGAGAAGGTTACGTGGAGGAGTGGAAATGGGAGCATTTTGACGGGAGGTGAGATGGGCTGGCCCGTTCCACAAGGAGATTTAATTTCCTTTAATGTCAGCCTTCGCACACGCTCTGCTGTCAGGCTATGAATGAAACGGTAATTGAGGTGTGTGTGCTTGTGTGTACCTGTGTATAAATCCTATCCTGGAGTAATTATGCATGTGTGTTGGATGTATATACTGTAATGTTGTGCCTCGGTATGCATCGTTTTTGCTTTTATGTGTGCATGTCTCCCAGAGGTGTAAGCATGCCCGCTTCTCGCGTGTGTGTGTGGGATGGCAGTTGTGTTGTCCCCTCGCCATTGACCAGTGTTGTAGAAGGTTAATGGAAAGGCTCCAGGCTGCGCTGGGCCTTTGATGAGCATAATTCCTTCACCTTGCCACCAGGAGGACAGGAGGAATCCAACTGTGCATGTGACAGGAGGGGATGGGGGGGTGTGGGGGTGTGTGTGTGTGTGTGTGTGTGTGTGTGTGTGGGGGGGGGGGTCGGGTGGCGGCCGACGTGTCATTTCCCGCTGACGGATGGCCCCCTTGCTAGAGCTGACAGCCCCGTAGCAGTTATTTCATTTCGACACCCTGCTCTGTTTACCTCACTGTAATTTCTGAGAACATTACCATGCCACGGGGGGAGGGGGAGTATTAGCAGAGAGGAAAAAAACAAGATGGCGAACTGGGTTTAAAAGAAAAAAAAAAGAAAAAAAAAAAGAAGAAGATCACAGTGCAAAAGGTGAAAGAGTGAAAAGGTAAGAAAGAGACAGCGGGAGAGAAAGACGGAGACGAAGGCGGCCGACATGACAGGCAGATATAACACATTAAAGGAAGCCCTCGTTGCCTTCTTGACAACGCTTGAGGGAAAAGAGACGTTAACCATTAGAAGTCTCACGTTCTGCCTATGGGGCTCTCAGGGCTGTATCCATTTATATGATAAAAGTTCGACAGATAGATATGTGTCTTGACTGGGGGCACGGCATCTAACATCGTGCTGAGGCTCAGAATTGCCCACACCGTCTTGCCAGCTCTCACTCTTTTCTCTTACTGGATCCTTTACCCCATTCTGTCTTTTTCTCCCCTCTTCATACCACTGACCTCTCCATAGCCTCTTCCTCCAACTCTTCTCCTCACCTCTTCACCCTCCCACCTCCTGTCTTTCATTCACCCGGCTACTTCCCTTAATTTTTCCAGTCTATTCCTGCTTGCCCTTTCCTCCCACCACTATTGCCATCACCTCATCATCTCCTCCACCCTTCATCCTTGCTTCTCTTTCTTTCTCTCTCCCTCTATCCATTCAGCTCGCTCAAGAGATTAGAGCTGTATGTGTAATTGGCTCTACAGGGCTTCTCGGCCGCTCCTTTAAGCACTGATATGCACTTGACGAGGGTTTGCACTTGTATATGAGTGCGTATGTGGTTGCCAATCCTTGTTGTAACCCCACACTATTCACTTCCCTCAGGTATGCCACTCTGGCCCGTTGTGTGACGAACCAGCAGCCTGAAGGAGCACAATTAAAGATAAAGACAATGGGGTTCCATGTTGTCTGGTTGGGGAAAACTGCAAAGAAGCAGTGGCTGCTGTGTTGCCGTTGCTGTGAGGGTGTGTTGCTGACAAGTTTGCTGACAAGTTTGAGCGTTACTGTGCTCGTGTATATAGGTTGAGGATCTGCACTCAGATCTTGCTGTGGGGGCCCAAGTCTGCAGAGTGCATTCAAAAAGACAAGCAGGCCAACCAAGTGGAAGGAAGTGGAAGGGGGATGCAGGATCGGGGAGTTGGAGAGGGCAGAAGCATATGATCGCATCAGCTCACTTCAAAAGCTCGAGTTTAATTTGAGAGGAGCCAGAGAATTCAGAGACAAAAAGGTAGCACTACAAAGGAGCTATCATTCTGTTTCCTCGACACATTCTGTCTATTATCATGCCCCTCTGTGGCACTCCACTACAAGCCCTATCCACATCCAACCCTTTACTTTACAGTTTGTCCCCATCACAGTTCTGTCTCTGTCCAGCCATTTAGACCAGATACACACTTTATGGCTGTCAGGACGGCCAAGCTGCAGGGGCCCTGAAAATGCAGGTGTACAAAAACATTTCCAGCACAGGTTCAAAGTGTGTTTTCTACAATGGCTACTTGCATTCACCAGTCGTATTCTACAGACAGATGGTGAAATTTTGTGGGCTTGAATTTTCTTTACAAACACACTGAGACACACAAACGCACATTATAATCTGACACAAACACAAATGTCTCCAACCTGGACACACTCAATCACAGAGCAGCATGTTACATAGCAGACGAAAGACGACGAGAGCGCAAGCTGCTAATGCGTGAGGTCCTTCTGCTGCTCGCTGGGGGGGGGTGGTGGTGGTGGTGGTGGTGGGGGGGGGTGACGAAATCCACATTCCTGATTCAAACCTTCTGTTGGAAACAAAGGGCTGTGAGGCAAAGGATC